CCAGTTGTGAGCTCCACTGAGCAGCAGGGAAGGGTAAAGGAAAACTGCTGTAAATCATGGCTTTGTCCTCCAGACAGGCAGCCGATGTGCCCGACGCTACAGTACGGTAACAGCAGTCCCCCAAGGATCCTCCAGCAGACTGACAGATTTCCCATTTCCATATTCGGCCTGTTAATAATTATCAAGAACTGGGAAAAGACAGAAAATAAACTAATTATAATCCATCTGAAAGCTACGCAGAGGTTTTCATTCACCCTGTATGCTCCCTTCCCAACCAGCGAGATTACATTTGTACAAAGGTAGAATTAGAACAATCACTTTGAAGTGTGTTCTTCTACTCAACGCAGTAAGATTCAATTATTTTACTTCAAGCACTGATCCAAAACCTTTCAGACACACTCAGACCTACTCAAAGGCTTTAATGCTTATAAACTAATCCTAAACTCTGGTATGTATCAATCCATTCATTAGTTGTATGATGGAGGTATGGACTTAATCAGAAAATGTAATAAAATAAACTTTGCTTTTTTAAACTTGAAATTGCTCTAATCTTCAAAAAAAGCCCCTTTTCTTCAATATCTTTGACAATCATTTTGCAGACAGTTTTATACTAATGAGATTCTACCTGTCCTATCTAGGTATTCACTATATATTTTACATTCAGCCCACAATAACCATCCTGAGATTCAACTTTAAATCAAGACGCTATCTTAAAATTGGCCTAGTTGTAGTAACAACATATTAAATTAAAAGAGAGAAGCTGGGTACTCTGCTATGCAGAAAATCTACAGAATATTGGAAATGTATTGTCTTTATTCTCAGGTCAGCTGTACAAGAGATTAGATCTTTTAATTATCTCTCACAGAATGGGAAATAGAAGTCTTGAATCCATTCAGCTGTTCAGTTTATGACCTGGAGAATTAAATCTGACCCCTCACAAAGTACATTAAGCATCACACACACCCTAAGACATAGTTATGGTTTTAAAGCAGTCATGTAACTCTCAGCTGGCATATCATTATGCTACAGAATTACCAAGTTTCCACTGAAAATGTACGTGTGTCAATATTTTTTGGAAGTGCTGCATGAGAGTCCCAGAAGTGCTGCCTTGCTGTCCTGCTCTAACTTTGAATGTAATTTAAATCATGCCAAAGTCAAGTTTAGCACTCCCACATGCTATATTTAGTACTGCAGAATAATTTAGATTGGAAGGCACCTCTGGAGGTCATCTAGTCCAGCCTCCTGCTCAGCACAGAGCCCACTAGATCAGGTTGCTTAGGGCCTTGTCCCATCCAGATCTGAAAACTTCTGAGGATGGAACACCACCACTTCCCTGGACATGCTGCTCCAGTGCTTTACCACCTTGCTGGGAATTCTGTTTCCTCTTATATCTAAGGAAAACTTGCCATATCACAAGCTGTCATGGTGTTGACTCTTGTCCTTTTGCCATGCACCTCTAAGAAGAGTCTGGGTCCATCTTCTCTACAGCCCACCAGTAGGGACACGAAGACAGTGATTTTCTCCCTCAGCCTCCTGAAGGAGCCTGGCTGCTGCAGCCCCTCCTCAAACACCCAGCCTTTGATCATCCGTGGATCTGCTCCACTTCATCCCAGTGGCAGGACCTGGGCATGACAGCAGAACAGACCTTCTGTCTAAAACTCCTCCCTAACATGAACATAATCACAAGTAAGTGAGGACATACACTGTAAAGCAGGGCAATTAAAATTAGCCTTCCAAACTCATATTTAGCAGCTATCAAAAAGTGACCTGGTGTTCAGTGCTGCTGAACACCTTTAACTCACAGCATCTTTGCCCATCTGGGTTTTTTTACAAGGCCACCTTCCATCATAATCTCGTACTACATCCCGTATATAATAAAGCAAAACTTTCCTCTCTGGATCTGCCATAAAGAACTTGGGATGTCCCAGGGGATCAACATTTCTGATCTGAACATGTAGCTTTAGATCATTGGATTCTAACAGAAGAGAAGCTAATTTTAGGGAAACTCATGTATAAATGGCTAAATGAATGGCATTTTTTTTCAGATATAAATGTCAGAGTAAATTTCTTGTCCCATAGTGCTATCAATCACAACGGATATGCCTATTTCCATTTACACTGCCTGCCTTCAGATTTGCAGCAGCCTGGCCTGAGGACTGACCCTGAGAATTCAGGAGGAATTTCATTACAATCCTACAAACCAAATATTAGACATACAATGACCTTGGCGATCCTACCACCAAAAAGGCACAGTGAAGCAAAGACACCAAGCTGCCTTTTTAAACCTATGTATACACCAAGCATACAAAGAAACCAACCTGATTTACAAAGTTACACATTTGACAGTCAGTTTGCCTTAGAAGTAGGGATTTTGTTGTGACAGTAGATACCAATCCCACCCAGTGACACATCCCATGGTTCGCAGGCACTGCCGAACAAGGGTCCAGTTCCCAGCCCCTACGCTCTGCACAGGTTCCTCTCAGTTTAAAGAGCAAGCAATGTGATTAACATTGCTGATCTGGCTGCATTTTGAATTTTGGCTGACTCTTTGACATAGGAGCTCTGGGAGTTTTGACTGCAATATAAGAAGTATTGTTAAGTCTTACAGTTTTATCACAGCCTTGAAATACTCGACGTTTTAAATTAAGTACCATCACTGGGAGATAAGTGATTACTCAGCAATCAGTTCTTTATTTTTTTTATAATTTGGTTCTAGTTGCCATAGTTGCAGAAAAATGTTAAAGGTTTTTAACATTTTTTAGTCTCCTCATCCCTTTCCTGTGTGAACATAAACAAAATCCAAACAATAAAAAAGAGGCTCCAACTTGTACTCTGGTTTATGAATACAGATGCTACTGCCTGCAATTTGTCCCTTTTCTTGTGTGTGTACATAGCCTAATTAACACATCTCAAGGATATGCATAAGGTTTTTGTTTATCATCTGGTTAACTGATGATTCTACAGTAATTAAATATATATATATAAAAGATTAAATATAAGGAAGAAATTCTTTACAATGAGGGTGGTGAAACACTGGAAAAGGTTGCCCAGAGAGGTAGTGGAGGCCCCATCCCTGGAAACATTCAAGGCCACGTTGGACGGGGCTCTGGACGGGGGTCTGAGCAACCTGTTCTGGTTAGCAGTGTCCCTGCTCCCTGCAGAGGAGGTGGACTAGATAACCTCTAGGGGTCCCTTCCAACCCAAAACATTCTGTGAGTCTAAGATAAAGTCCTAGAGATACACTACAATTCCTTGCTCTGGAGCAAGAACACCGATCACACGAATTTTGCTGTGAAGCCACCTTCCCAGGGTGTTGGGAAGAGCAGATGTAAGCAGGGCAGTTTCACTTCACTGGTGTAGCCCAATGACAGGGACAAATATTAGGGAAAAAAAAAAGAAAAAAATACTCCCACAGCAAGCGATATTCCTCTTGGAAACACCAGAAATGGTCCCTTTGTCCTACTCACCAATTTTACTGCTGTGGTGGGAGAGACAGGATGGTGCGACAAGGCACGCAGCTGAGCATCTCCTACCAAAGCAAGGCAGGGGCTAAAGGCATCTCACCAACGTGACTGGTGTCAAGGGACCCAAAACTGGCCCCCAGCTCTCCACCACTTGGAGCAAATCCCAAGCTGCTGGATTCGTCCGTGTATCTTTTGCCATAATATTTAATTTTCCAGCCCGTAGGCAACTGACAGAGCAGATGTCACTGAAATGACTTAACGGATTAAGCTGCTGTTTGTTTAATTCTGATGTGTAAAATGTGTCACACTCCAAATAGTTTAGTATGTTAATGTACTAGTGCAGCAACCTACAGCAATCTTTTATGATTTTATTCTAGACCTATTTGCTTATTGATTTTATTTTAAATCATAAATACCTCTTTTCTTGCTTCCTGCCTACTTTTTTTAGGCATACTCTTAACTTCACCTTCAGTTTCCTCAAGCTGAATAAACAGAACTATTATCTCAAATAAACATTTAAGGTCCTAGCATATTTTATCTAAAATTCATTTGCATTAAATGGCATAACACAGATGTGAACTTCCAGAATAACGTATTCCGTTAATGATTGGCAGCACAATAGTTCGTAGCTGAGGGAGCTCTGGGGCTTCAACTTTCAGGAATAGCATTTTAGTATCTATGGCTGCACAAAAAAGCTGACCAAAGCCATATTTGGAATTGGTCTCTGAGTAATCTCATCAATAAAAATCTCCGAAATCTAAAATATTCTTATTTGAATCAAACTTTTCAAAGAAAGATTCTTCAAGTTTTCAATCCTAAGGTAAGGGGAAGTGATTAATAACTGCAACATGAAGTTTTATTTCTTATATTGGTATGCAGGTCCTTATGCTTCAATGGGACTATAGGTAACAAAGAGCGTACCTAGTCTCGAATCTGAAAACTATTAATCTCAAAAACATTTAAGGAATCAATTTTAGAAAAACTTGTAAAACATCATGATGAGCATTACAAATGAGGAATTCTAAGCTATAAGAATGAATAACGTCCATTTCAAACTAAAGGCGCAGTTCAATGCCTCCTAAATTTAACTCTTCTGTGGATTTGCATCAGTTGTTGCGGAACCTTGCTAGCTTGACAAACTATAAGCATGTATTAGTAAAATTAATCCTCTTGCATGTAGCTGCGCTCCTTTGATAAGTCAGCATCCCCAGCATTAGCACTTCTGGTTTCTTGAGACTCTCTGGGCACACGCAAGACGAATTTAACTTGCCAGCGCCTTACGCTGAGGCTCTGCCACGGCACATTTTGACAGGCGCTCCCCGTGGGGGCTGCAGGGCTGGCTGCTGTTTCATCAGTGGCTCCGCATCAACAACGCTGAAAATAGCCCTCATAAACTCCTTAAAATAAACAACAAATTTGAACAAGCTTTGGAGTACGCTTTTCAAAATATAGCTTCTCAAACATACGCTTCTGTGGTCTGAAGCCCAGCTAAAGCCCATGACTATACGATACTGAGGATCTTCTGCAAAGAAATACCTGCCCGTGTTCTTCTTTACGCCAGGCCTGCTCAACTTGACGGTGGTCAGATGACCACTCCTCACCAACAAGACTGCAGACACCCATACGCCCGACAGGCAGGGGCACAACCCGCTGGTCAGCCACCCCTGGAACAAAGGCCAGGCGTTGGAAAAAGGCTTCAAACGGCAGAAAAGTTGCAATGAGTTTGTTCAGCAATGCAGTTCTTCATCACCGCCCTGTGCCGGTGCTGCACTGGTCCCCAGCAGACACCCCTGGTGTGGCCCATCTGCTCTGCGCCTCATTTGCACAGTTCTCGTTATGTAGATGTTCTTTCCCCTAGTATTAAATTATACCAGTATAATCTATAATATACACTCTTCTGGAACATGGAAATGATCAAAACCTGATGACAAAGACATGAATA